GGGAAATGCATGGGACTATGGTGGTGGCACACGGGTGATTTGATGATGGGAAACCCGCAGGGATTACAATCGAGATGGAAAAAAAAATGTGCAAAATGATGTAAAAATAAACTTTTGTAATAATTAAAAAAATAAAAAATAATAAAAAAATTAAAAAAAAATAGCTTCCTTGGGGGATGTAATACATATACCATGAACGATATATCAAGATATCACTGTAAACATACAATTTGTTCCGGTGCTTTTTGGAGTTGTGTGGCGATCACCACAAGTCAGTTTTAGAACAACTCCATCACACCCAAAAATGTACCTTTGTGCCCACTTTGTAATCTAACTCGCTCCCACTTTCATCTCCAGCCTGATCTGAATGAACGGATTTGCCTTTTCTGAATATTTCATATGTATGCAACCAAACAGTACGTGGCCTTTGCTCCTGGCTCTCTCATAGTGTTGTAGTTTATCCATGTTGTCAGTGTATCTGCGGTTGCCCTTTGGCCGTTGGATAGTGTTTCCTTGTACGGGTGGTTTGCATTTTGTTTATTCACTTCTCAACTTATGGACCTGTGGTTTGTGTACAGGCTTGGGCTGCTGTGAACACTGCTTCTATGAACCTTCCTACACAAGTCACTGTGTAGACAGAAGTGTTACATTTACACAATAAGAATAAAAGAAAAGCAATGAAGGCTAAGGACCAAAATGGATTCTCAAATATTTCTAGAATGGATCTCCTTTTATCCAAATGGGAATTGACGAGGGGCTGAAGTTGTATGACAAGGAGAGAAAGCAGTGGGCTCCTGCACCCTCTTTCGCTGCTTCTGGCTCAGGACACAGCCCGGGGGGGAGTACAGAGGGACAGCGGTCCTGTTCCTTTGGCAAGCGACTGTATTGCGCCATCCTTCCAAAGCTTCAGAACATGTGTTATCACGCTGACATCAACCTCAAGCAATCATCAGCTTCCCTACTAAAAGTCCTTGGATTCAAAAGCAGCTGAGGATAGAAATCCCCAAGATATCCATACAGGCCTCCCCAAGACATGCCACTTTGGCATTTAGGTTATTCTGAAATGAGGTCAATTGAGACTTTGCATTTCCATGAGAAATTTTTGCTACTCCCTTAACTACCTAAAAGAATGAAAATAGGGGGTCTTACCCAGAATAAGATTTATATCAGAATAATCTTTTCACTGGAGAAGCCCCTTTCTATGGTGGGGCATATTGAACAGCTAGTCTTTGTCAAGTAAGTCTCCCTCCTCACTCCTTAAAGACCCAGAGCCTTATCCCATTCCACAGCTCAAAAATACCCTCATTTCACCCCATTTGATTTAGAATCCACATCCATGTAGTGTCTCCATACTTAAGTAATTAAATCTGGTTTTTTGTCCTACTAATCTGGCTGATATTAATTTGATCGCTTGAACAGACCAGCCCTTGAAAATTCTACCTCTCTGCAAATTCAGGAAACACCAATCACTTCACTCTGCTGTGTATAACAAGAATTTGCTTTCAGTATTGTCAGAAAAGCCTGAAGCCCAGGTTCAGCTCTTTAGGATGAGTTCAGATTTTACCACTCAAGTAATCAATGTGCAAAGATTAATATGCAGATGCAAAAAGAAAAGGCTCAGAAAAGGATAAAGTCCTGTCAGGAAAGGGATGCAGGAAACAACTTGCAGGCACAGAGGCAAAAAAGGGACTCGACAGCCAAGTTGGGGCGCCCTATAGCATAATATTGACAAGAAGTAGATGGATGGCACAGCATTGCGGGACAATGTTTAGTGCAAGTGGATGTGTGACTTTAAAGTTCTGTGGGGCAAATTAGTGGTAAGGAATATTGAGGACACCTATTTTACCTGTTGTCTACAGTAGTGGAGTGGAGTTCCATTCTGGGCTATTAGAATTCAGGGGGTGTCTCCAACCCATGCATGTATAGGCAGCCTGCCCACCCCCAGCCCCCTCACATGACCCCATCATCCTACCAATTGTAGGACATCTCTGATCCTCTCTGCACGCTCTCCATGAACCCCTGCATTCACTCTGCAACCTACTCTTAACCCCTCCTTTTTTCCTAGTTATATTTTTTTGATCAATTATTTTTCTATTTTATTATTTTTTATATATCTACTTACACTATTGTTCGTTTTTTAAAACATGTATTTATGCATACAGAACAGGGGTACAGGCCAGAGGTGCAGGTGTAGTGAGAGGACTCCCCGAGACAAAGTGGGGAGCAGAACAGGCAGATCGACGAAGTACACTGCTGAGGGGAGCAGCGGGCAGTCAGGAGGGGTCTGGTGCACTACGTGGGTCACCTCCGGGGCCGGGGATCGACTCCCACTGAAGTGGCTGTGGTTAGTTTGCAGTGCTGTATCCTAACCGGTTGCACCACCAGGGAGGGCCCCCATTATTCATTTTACAATGTTTACTTCACCCTCCCCACCTGTCAGCACATCCCTCCCTCCTTCTGATTACTTTCTGTCCCCCTCTGCTGTAGGATCTCTGGTTTATAATTGTCGGTTTTTGTTTTGTTGTGTTGTGTTTCATACTGTAATAACAATTACATTTTTTTGTTTGTTTCTCTGTCTTACTTGGTTCTATTAAATTTCTCCTATAAGTGAAGCCATTCAATATTTTTCTTTTCCCTTCTGACTTATTTCACTGAGCACTCGGTCCTCACCAAGACTCAATCCTGTGATGTGGACAGGATAGGCAGCATTGACTCCTTTATAAGAAAGAAGAAACTCAGGCAGGCATGCTCAATGAGTGCTCGATATCCCAGTCACAGAGTGTTGGGTTTAGGGTGGGTAACTGGCTCCCGACCCTGGACGAGGCCTAGGGTGATGTGCATGAATAAGTGACCAAGATTAAAGCAAAGGGCTCTTCTCTGACATGTTAACCGAGGGAAATGTGGTACACATTCCAGACACACTGGGTATCTGGGAACTATGCGTTTGAGATTCTAGGAACATATGAGCTTATGAGGTGTTCTCTAAACACATTATATATTCAGTGTTTTTAAAAAAATGTGTTGCGGTCTTCAATTTGAGATCATATGTAGTTGCAGGGAGGAGTGTTTCTGTTCAAAGATGATTTGCAAAATTATGTCTTCAAAATAGTACTTAAAACTAGTTTTATGGACCAAGTACCTGTTTAGTCTAAGATCTTGAGTACAATCTTGGTCTAAATGAAAGTTATAGCAATTAATATTGGTACTAATTAGGTTAGGTTGAAACATTTTTTGTTCAAGAAGGAACATGCTTGCAATTCAGTATGAACCAATAATTGTGTTTATTCTGAAGCTTTTATTTTGGAGTCCTATATCACAAAATGACATGTTTATTGTTTACAACCAGTATTAGAAATTGAGATGTTTTTATTTCTACTATTTTAAAGAATAGTGTGGATAATGCTCCAAACCATCATCAAAAAATGCAGAGCAAACTTTTCTGTATAGAAACTGTACATAAAAACAAGGCACTATACATTCGGGGGAGAGATTAAGGTAGAAGGGTGGTTCTCACAGATTCTCCAGAGCCCACGCCCATCATACACATTCTTTGTTCATTTTAGCACCGAAGCAGTACTCAGAACAAGTCAGGCCTAAGGAGGAGACACTTCTGAACGTGTGTGAGGATGCGTACTGTTGGCAGAGCTAATCCACAGAAGCAACTCCATCTATCTTTTAATATTATTTTGATGCCAAAACCAAAAAAATCTTAAAAGAGCTTGAATACATACTTTGCTTCGTTAAATACATATTTGATTTATACGGTGTTTATATAAATATATATGTGTGTGTATATGTACACTTTAGAATCCACAAACTATCAAAATAATACTTTATAAAGAGAACTGCTTCCAAAAAAGTAGGCATTGCTCAGCTGGACAGGAGGGCAGTGTTGCAGCACCGCTGAGGGATGCTGCCTAAGTGCGCATCAGGGTACTTTTATTAATTACCTGCTGAATTGTGGAAAGAGAATTTCCAAAGAGTTCTCTTCAACATTTACAAAATACACAACGCCAGGACAAGCCGTTGAGCTAACAACTACAGGCCTTGAAATTTCGGATTGAAAAATCTTCTTTGAAATACCAGTCCCCAAAACATATTCCTATCCTGGTCCAATGGTATTGAAAGTGACAGTGGTGGTAGCCCAGGCATCTCTCCTGCTCAGAAAAGCCCTTTCGCTTTCTTCAGGTTCACCTGCTTCCAGGCGGGCAGCGCGTTGTACTCCTCTCTTGACATGTCTAGTGCACACTGGAAGAACCATGAGAAATGCTCAGTGGCTGAGTAGAAGGACCTAGGACAAGCCAAGCCTATAGCTTCCTTGCTGTCCTGCCTGAAGGCATACTTACCTCAAAGTCTTCATCAGTGAGATAAATCTCTAGCTTTAGAGGGTCAACTCCCTCTGGCAGTGGCCTGGCCAGGAGATCTGCCAGGGGATAAATGGTTTTACAGAGCTTGGCTAAGACGTCCTCCACAAGGGTGATCTGGCTGGAAACTTCTGTGTCCTGGGGAAGAGAGAAGGCAGAGGGGTGAGCATCTCGTCCTGCACCTGCATAGCTTGATCACACACTTGCCAAACACAGCTCTCTCCATCCGTACCCTTGCCTGGAAAGCTCTGAAATACACAAGAATCATGCCAAACCTGACTTTAGAGTCCTTTCATCCTACCACAAAGTTGCAAATAAATCCTGTCTCAGCACTACTTCAGAGACAAAGTTTAGGGGGTAGCTCGTGAGTGAAATATGGTCTAAAATTATTTGTCTAAATACCAGAAACTTCCCGCGGATGGAGTTTATTTTAAAATATTTCAAAGTAATAAATATAAGAATAACCTTAAAAGGAGAATCATAGAGTACCCAACCCTACACTTACTTTTGATGTATAATAGAAAAAGAAGGAAAGAGTGTATTTGGAATATGCTGGGGTTGAATCATGCTTTTTTTTTTTTTTTAAACCATGGTGTAGATTCAATCCAAACAGGTTATTCCCAGTAAGTGGTCTTTCTCTATTAGAATAGGGTCAGATTGGCTGCCTGTTTTTTGAGAGGGTGAGGGGTGGGTGAGGGGTGAGTGGGGGAAAGTGGCTGACGTGGCCCAGTACAGCAATACTCAGATAGAACACAGGCTGGTGTCAAAGGCAGACCCCGGGTGAGCTGCTTCATGCTTGGCATGTTAAACTTTAGCTCCTTCACTGGTAAAATGGGGATGACAAGACGAATCTAATGGACTTGTGAACACAAAATGTGAGGTGCTGCAGAGCAGATCGCAGGGACTAGCAATTACTGTTACACCTTGCTGGTGTGGGAAGCCTGCCTGTTGCTGGCCAAAGGCCAGTAGGCCGGCACAGGACATTCCAGGGCAGACCTCAGCAAGCCCCCGTGGTCTTAGAAGAGATCGGTAAAATGGCGGTGATTTATGCCTTTAACTTAGGCGGCACATGCAGGGACACCTCCCTGAGTAGATCAAGTTCATTCTGGTAGAGAGGTGGGGATCAGCAGGGCAGTTTGTGCTACCAAAAAGTTTCCTCTGTTCGTAAGCCACAGTGAACTTGTTTTGATTCTGTAAAGTCATTCGGACCTCCTCCTTCAATCATGCCACCTCCCCACCAAGAGCCATTCTCCTACAAGGTAAGAAAATAAAAACTGCGCAAACCTCTCTCCTATCAAACCTCCAAGCCGCACGGAATCGCTACCACTAGCAATGCTAGCTCATACACTGAGAAATTCTGCTGAGCTTGGCTTCCTTTGTTTCTGTGTAGATGCATCTTACAACAATCTGGTTAATCATATGCTTTGGTAAAGAGAAGTTATGCCACATGCCGCCTGTGGCTATACGAGGGGTCCCATAAAGACGACAAGGAATGTGAGCGTTGCTGCATCACCAGGGGCTCACAACACATTCTCTGAGTATTGTCTGAAAACGTGTGCTCATGGCAGGTTCATTCTGTGCCTCCTCTAACACAGGGTGATGTCTACACCATCAGAATTTGGTTGTCTGAGGTGACCTTGAGAATCTATTAGCAACAGCATTTTAGCCGCAGGCAACACCGTCCCCAGCTGGCGCAGGAGCTGCCTGAGGTCGGTCTCACCATTTCTGTGATCTCGGCAATGTCTTCTCTGTACTCCCAGCTCGGAAACATGTTGGTAAAAGTCAGCGGCTCCAGACCAGCATGGATAAGGTAAGACTTTGGGGGTGGCTTCTTGATGTTTTTTCCTGTGGGTGTACAGAAGGCAGATGTCAGTGGCCCTGGGAGGGCGAAAGTCCCGTCTTTTTCTGATTCACCCTTGATTCTTTTCTTCTTTGCATAAAAGAGTTTATGAGTAGTTCACAACAATACATGAATGGTTATTTACATAAAATGTTAATGTTTATGCCTATGACTATTTTAGCGACATGCAACTGACCTGATGGTTCTTCCTGAACCTAAGAAAGTGGTCTGGGCTCTGGAAGGGGACAGCCTCTTTCTGTGGCCTCCACTGGGAAATTTTCCTTCTGTACCTGTCTGGGAGGGTGTTCATCCACTCCATGCAGCATTTAGTTCAGTGTGAGTTCAGCAGTGAATGGCAGCATTTTAAAAGCCACTTTAAACATTTTGTGGAAATAAGTCATTTACTACTAAAGAGCTTCTCAAGAAGGGGATCAATGTGTACATCCTCAGTGGTACCAGGACAATCAGGGAAGCCTAAACCCATTAAGAAATTATTGGTATTTTCATTTTTAAAAAATAAGATTAGAAATTTTAGGTGGACAGTGTAGTAAAAAAAAAACAATAAGTTAACCACAGCTTTTACTTTTTCGCTGTTATAATGGGAAAAAACAGTGGAACCTGACAAGTCTGCCCAGGTTTCAGCCTGCTGGGGGGTCTCTGCTCTCGAGGGAGCTGCCCCTGGACAACCCTCAAGTGGAGGTCTGACTGGTTTCCCAAGGGCAAAGAGCTGCCCAGCCCAGGTCATGCCACAATCCTGGGTCTTGAGGGTGACTGCTTAGGTGCCTCCTAACACACACAAAAAAACTCAACTTCTTATTCACGCTGGCAGCTGGGAACACGCCAACCTCAAAATTAGTAACCTCAGAAAGGTAAAGGGACAATAAAGTAGTTTCACTGCCATCTGCTTTTTATTTTATTGGTATTTTCATTAAAAAAAAAAAATAGAGGCTGGCTGCCCCCCAGAAAAAGGGAAAGACCGGACCCTGGTTATGTTTGCAGGAATCAGCAGCACTGGCTTTGGGCAAAAGCTCGTCACTGTGCCCGCCGGGCCTGGCTCGTCTGTGGCGCAGCCCTCTCGTCCATTACCGTCCACGCCTCACCTTTGCAGTACTGGAGCACGGTCTCCATGGCGCTCTTTCTGTCTGAGGCCCAGCGGATGCGGGCAGAGCCTGTGATCTTGTTCTCAATGGGCCACCATCCTTGCCAGAGGTACACCTCATGGTGATTGTCAACAAGGAACAGCGCTGTGATGGTGAGGACAGAAGAGGTCAGGGGCTCTGGCTGGGAGCTCCCAGCATCTCCCCAAACCTAAGGGAAGCTGCCTTCCTTTCTGGCATTTATGTGTGTACAGGCTGGGGTATGAGATCTCTCTGGCATTTACATCAGGGGCAAAGGGTGGAGCTCCATGCCAACCCAGCTCGCTGAGTGTCAGTGGCCTGTAGGCAGGGAGAGGTGTTTCTCCCTTCTCACCTTTCCTCCAGTTCCTTTCCCCTTTGCCCTGCTCCACGCTGGCCCTCCTGGGTACTGGCAGGTGGGAGGGGTGGAATGGAGAATGCCCACACCCCTCACAGGGGTTGTCAGTACCATGATCTGCCAAGAGCCTACAGAAACTGGAGCATCATCCGCCATGCACGGACTTCTAGGCACTGCCATTTACGCCCCACCACTGGCTTTCAGTGAGCAACAGGCTTTAAAAATAAGTGTTCACATGGGTGATTTGGTGATGGGAAGCCTATGGGGATTACAACTGAGATGGAAAAAGTCCCAAAATGATGTAAAAATAAACTATCATATTAAAAAAATATATTAAAAAAGTGTTCTGCCTCTTCTCCTCCCTTTCTTTTCCTTATCAGACTCAGCCTGATGCTGATTCTACGTGGCAAAAGGGCTCTTATGCTTGCTAGCTGAGGTGGCTCTGACCCCTTTCTAATGCACAGTCCCGTTGTCTGAGAGCACACACTTCAAAAGCCTGGTGGAGGCTGCTAAGCCATCTGAGTTACAAGGCAGAGTGTGGGTGGAACATTCCATTTTCAGGCACTCGCTAGTATTCCTCACAGTGAGACATGTGCATCAGCCAAGCTCTTTTAATGGTGACCTGGGCTGCCTGTGTGGGCTCAGGCTCTAGACTCCGTTCTGTGAGGGGAGAGGCCCCCAAGCGCAGGGACAGTGCCCTTAGATTGCAAGCTCGCTACAGACATGTCTCTGGTGACTGTGATTGTCCCAGGCAGACAGAGAGCACAGAGATTCTGTCTTGAGTGGGTGGTGGCGGAAACAGCTCCAACATTGGAATCAGAGGACAGCATGAGCCTTGGCCCTGCTGTTTCGTCTTGTGTGGAGGACACTATTCTCTGGTTAATTCAGCAAAACCCTCAGTCCTCTGCTCCCTGGCTGCTGGGGGTGGCCAGACCACAAGGCCCTGGCTAAGGGGATATAAACAGGAGGCACTGGGTGGTTTCTGGGAAAGATTTTCCTCTACTGATGAAATGGTAAGATATAGTCATCATGTGTCTTTCTTTGTGTCATGAAAATATGATATGGCTGGAACGGGGCAGCCATCTGGGGACCATGAAGCCACAGTGTGAGGAAAGGCTGGGGGAACAGCAGAGACGCCAGGCCTGACAGTTTGGTGCTCAACCTGTTCTTGGCTGATGTATGGAGGCGTTAAGTAACAGAGCATCAGTTTCTTTACTCTTATATGTGGCTGATGACATCATCCTTTTGGGGTAAAAATGATGAGATAATTCTATCTGGCAGGGTACTTGGCAAATAAAGTGGAAAGGCTCTTTGGGAGGGGTGCCTTCTGCACCCTGGCACACCCCCTCTGCCAAGGGCTGCACCTGGCTGTGGAGCACTGTACAGATCTTCCTGCAGGAAGGGCATGGAATTGACCACCGAGGACTCGCGGGCAGGATACATGAATTCTGTGGCTGAAAAATCTCCAGAGGAGCTGCTGAGGATGAACAGGCGGGGCGTGAAGTTAAAATTTCCAGGATCTTTGAAAGAAAAGAGAACCAAGTCAAAGATGCCATCTGTACCAACATAAATTCTAGCCAGGTTGGACTAGCTTTGTTACACTAATTTTAGTGTAAAACATGAAACGGGGCCCTCCCTGGTGATGCAGCGGGTTAAAGCACAGCACTAAGAAGCTAAAGCCACTTCTGCATGAGTTCGATCCCCAGCTGCCCCGGAGGTGACCACATGGTGTGGCAGACCTCTTCTGACCCGCCCGCTGCTCCCCTCAGCAGTGTACTTTGCCAATCTCCCTGTTCTGCTCCCCGCTCTGTCTCTGGTGAAGCCTCTCACTGCCCCTGCACCTCTGGCCTGTGCCCCAGTTCTGTATGCATAAATAAATAAATCTTAAAAAAAAAAACACGAAACAACCAAAGAATTCATATAAAAATGGGCAGGGGTCATCTCAGCAAGGCCTCTTTGTCATAATTGTAAAAGAAGTAACTAAGAGGAAGGCAACATAATGAAAAATTATATCGCGAACAAAAGCACAACCATAAGTGAAAAGGAAAGTTTAACATAATGACAACTATGGAACATCCTTTAGCATGCAGAGGAATATAATGAAAAGAATTATTTTAATAAAAATGTGCAGAAGGCACACACAAAACATTCACTAAAGCAGAAGAACAAATGGCTAGGAAATATGCATAGAAAGTTTTATAGTACTTTTAATTTAAAACACTACGGTGAAACAGTGCTTAGGGTAGCAGATTTCCTCCGTCAACTTTGGCAGGAAGAAGGGCATTGAGTTCATGAAATTGGGCACTTCTATATATTGCTGATGAGATTCAAGGTTGGTGTGAGTATTCTGTTGCTATATTTGTATGGTAAGACTTCTCTAACTGTAAGATTTTATGTGACTTTAAAAGTCTTACAGCTTCGGCCCTCCCTGGTGGCGCAGCGGGTTAAAGCACTGCACTAAGAAG